GCTTAAAAGGACTAGTTTGCCTAATTTACTTACTACTAAGTAACTACTAATTTACTCAGCTCCTGCATGGCAGAGATGGGGACGCGAGTTTGAGAGTCGGACTCGAGTCCGACTTAAGTCGCCCACACAGTGATTTCAGACTTGACTTCAGACTCGTCCTCGAAACATTCAGACTCGACTCGGACTCGAGGTGCGGGACTGGTGAACAATGTTTATTTTTAGGAAACGTCTGATAAGCTTGCTGTTATTCCCCTCCCTCCATTACCTATAATCTGCCTACATAACACGTAGTATCAGCTGTGCGCGGCCACACGTGAGAGAGGACAACAAACAGCGGCAGCTGCTGAGCCATTCATCAAAACTTTGGCTTTAAAACGTCATACAACAAGACCCAAACAAAGAAGCGCTGAACGCAAATAGGTTAGTAACCTGAGGTTAGTAAACATGTTTAGTTCAGTATTGGCCATCTAACGTTAGCTTGCTTCTTGCTTTAGCTAAAGTCTACCGGGGTTCTCCGACTGTCGTTTGTTATGAAAAGATGAATGAGCGTTTATTTACTTGCCAAACTTGTGGTGGTCGATTAATGTAATCATTTACATCCCGCTGGCTGCCATCATGTTAATTATTAACGTTGGCTGCAAACAGGTTACAGGTTTATTGTTGATCATGTAACGTTACAGTTTTATTTAGTTATGACGTTATACTGGGTTTGAGAGTCTTGGGGATGTGTTGACTTACAGGAGTTTAAGCTGTCATTGATTGCATTGCACATTACATGGTTGTGCTCTGTAAGTGAAAAACAGGTTACAGTTACAGAATTCCTTATAGCTATGCAGTTTTATAAGCAGCCTGGATTGAACGCAGCGGGTGATACAACATTAATTATAACCACGAGAGACTTGAGACTTGACTTGGACTCTAGCTCAAAGACTTATGAGCATCTCTGCTCCATGGCCACCACCATCCTTTCTTTAACAACCAGTTTTCAGACTCCTCTGAAACTATCAGGATGTGCAGTATGTGTTCATTCTAAGCTTGTACCTGATGTTCCTGGACAAGTAGGTAGAAATGACATGCAGCTAATTAACAATGCAGTTTAGGAAACAACAGACAGACTTTCTTAATGGACACACTGTGACATACACGTACATTTACTGCCAGACAGACAACTTAATGCTAATATTTTCCTCCTCTAACTTTTTACCGTCACTCTCTGCCACTCGCACTCTCTCATTCGCTCGCCCACACGCTCACTACGCACACACACAGGATACACAGGGAGCCAGCCAAGCGTCAAGTGCGAGTAAAAATCATTATTTGCACATTGATACTAACGATCGTGTGAAATTTTAATAGGGTGTCATTCATTCATGCATTTGTGGTACGCCGAACACAGGGGGAATAGTCTCTGTTGTGTGCACACTGGAGGACTGTCCAGGCGCTGCACTTCCGCACTTCCGAGAGCGCCACCTTTTGCATTCCGTCAACATTATGTTATCAATTAAGTTAAGTCACTTGTTTAAACAGATTCCTTACTCGATTTATACTTGTTACTGTCATTTTTAGAGGTTTGCGACTCACCAATAAAGGAAAAAGCACTCGCAGAGATCTTTCAATTCAGTTTATTGATCAAAAGTTAACAAAAATTCTCAACACATGGATCAAAAAATTACCTTAAATTTGTTTCCCACAACTTATTAGTCACTAAACTATTTCCCTCCTCCTCTCTCATTCAAATATAAAAAAACTCCCAAGCTGTAGTCTTTCCCTGTATAATACTACCCGTGAGGATGACCTAATTAGGATGAGGAGCGATCTGATACAATTTCCCAATACTTTTATGAATCAGTTATTTGAAACAAGAAGAAAATAAAATAGATAACCTTGCTTGTCCATAACAACAATAAAAATAATAATAGGCTACCAATCAACTACTATGGCTTCAACAGGTGGCATTTTAGACAAGGTATCGAATGAAGTACTCAGTTGGTATAGGTATCACTTTAAGGGTACTGGTTTTGGTACTGGTAAAATATTAAACGATACCCAACCCTAGTCGTGTGACTTCATAATGACTTCTTATTTTCCACTGTATTTGTGGACCTAGGAAGGTTCAGATGATCAGCTGATCATCAAAGTAAGAATGAACGGTTGTCTGTAAGTCTCTGTACTGACGTCACTAAAGCAGAGCTGCCTTCACTGCGTGTGAATAGGGATTACGGTTTTTAACCTCATGTTGCCAATCTCTCTCTCTCTCCTTCTCTTTAGACCCGCCCCCAGCACCTCCCTCTCCCCAGTGTGTTACGACGTTGTATCTCGGTGTGTTCGGCAGGGGAGCAAGGACCAGCTGGGGAATGGGTTAGCAGGGTTACAAGCTGTGTTTATCGGTACACAGGTGAGCACTGGGGCGCTGGGTAGTCCAGACAACACATTCGGCCTACACTCCCCTCTCTGGCAACCACAAAACACACACTAGCGCACACCTACACATGTGCTCTTGCAAGTGAGCAACACACTGATTTTATGCACACACAGACAGACTGATCCCACACCTTTCCGCTCCTAATCAAGTCCTCCTAATTACAGTGGCTCATATGCCCCGAAGTTGACAGATTGCTGATTAACTGCTTTTAAGTTTTGGTTAACATGTGAATTTAGGCAGGCCCTGCTTGAAATTTTCCAGCTGTCATTTGTCAACATCCCCAAATTGCATGCGACTTTTGCTAAACAGCAGCGGTAGTGTGCCATGCGCTCCGGGTGTTGCTAGGTTACGGTACTGGGATGCTACTGGCTAAGTGGCTGCCGGATCATCGACGGACACTCTGCAAGGAGGGCTGACAGCAGGTCCTCTGGACCATTTGGCAACTTGTGAGTCACACGCTCTTGAAATCCCACATCTGGTGGCAAGCCCATACAAATCAAGATCAAAGTGTTGGCTTTGAGATTGGACCTGTCTCTCAACCTCTCTGCCGCTCTCCTGTCGAGTTTCATTTTCATTTCTTGCTCTTTTCCACAGCAGTGTGCTGCCTTCACATCGTACTCTGCCTGCTTTGTTATCCCTGCTTTGCGTTCCCTCCGTTGTTGCTGTCTCGCCTCTCTCTCCCTCCTGCTGAGAGGTAATCAAGCCCTGTTGTGAGTGTTTAAGCAATGGAGCAGACACATCTTGAATTATTCGTGGGTCTTAATATTTTGTCTGGGAGGAGACAGCCAGTCTCCACACCACATGCTGGGTATCGCATACATGAATGCGCGGCGTAGAGGCTCAAGCACACACATGCACACATGCCCACACACAGTTAGTTATTCAGTTAGTCAGAAATAAAGTCAGTCACACAGATCTCATGCTGACAGATAGTTACAGGTAAGAGAGTGATAGGGCCTGACAGGCAACCCGCACTGTATACACTGATATGCAACACTTAATACAACGCAGACACTAGTAAACACAATAAGCAGAGGCACAGCACCAGAACGCACGATCGAGTAAATCAGCGTGAGAAAAATACACATGCACACAATTACATGCTCGGGCACAAACATGTACACATAGTTGCACACAGTGACAAGACGCATCCACTCACACACAAACATTACAGCTAACACCCTCAAAGTTAAACAAGTGAACCAACAAAGGAGAACAGACAACGTAAGAACTCATCTCCTCCTAATTCCCTCCTGTGTTCAGCTCCCCTCACATCCATCGCCTCCCCCACGCTACTTTGTTTTATTTATTTATCTTTTTACCACTCTCTCCTTATCTATCTCTTGTACTGCTGCTCTCATTCTGCCTTGAACTCGCCTTCATCGTCGCTTCTCTCTCTTTCTTTCACTGTGAACTTAAACTCTCTGTGGAACCATAAGCTGATATCACAGAGCCTCAGTGTTCCTTTAATCTCTCTCTCACACACACAATGATGGACACGTAACTGGGTGGTCATTGTAATATACATGGCTTGGTTATAGAAGTTGTTGTGATACCTATTGGTGCTGTTTGAGTGCCATTACAGTGGCGAGCAACATCATGATTAGCTCCACATCAAAAGATCATCTTTAAAATCAGGAGGTTTGGTTTAAATGGGCACCAGAGACATATGTCACAAGTAGACAATGGTTCAGGTTGGGGAGCCACTGGATTAAATGCTTAGTTGATTGACAGAAAATTAATTGCTAGTACAAGCATCTCAAATGTGAAGATGTGCTGCTTTTCTGTGTTTTATTATTCTAAATTGAGTCTTTGACTTTTGGACTGTTGGATGGACAAAACAAGTAATTTAAAGAAGTAACTCTGGGCTCTTTGAACTTTACTGCTCTTACTAACTACACAATCTTTTTTCAAAATGTTCTCAAAATAAACTGGAACATTTTACTAAATGAAGACACAATTGTGATATGATAGTTTAGCCATCTTTAACATGAAGCAAAAGGTCAACAACAAAATATCAGTAACTGCATGATCAATTAAACTTACCTACAGACTTCAATCCTGAGTGTCTAGAAACAGGAAGAGACTGTAGTTTAGTTGCTGCTGTTCAGTCCTTCTTATTAATGTCTACAGTGAGTGCTGTGTTTTATACGTCAGAAAACCTGGAGGAGATCTTTTTTTCCGGAACCAAAAAACCTAGAAAAGCTTTCCTGTCATGTTGAATTCTAAGTTTCCCCACATTATACATGCTGCAATGGAGTGCCACTTAATAATTGAGTGCCATTTACTCTGCTATAAATGGAAGGAAGTAAGTGACATTAGTACGTATACCTAGATGTGTTCCATCACTTCTTCGCAGAAGAAAAGTAGTTAAGGTGTGTACATGATTTTTGTGAAGAACAAAACATTCTTGTTCCATATTTGGACAGCAGAATTGCCTTATTTTTGTTTTTAAGCAACACCCTGCATCACTGTCACCCTTTCTCGCACATTCACACCTGCAAGCTGTCTAGTAAAACCACACTGAGCAGCCTCACTGGAGTAGCTGGAAGCTACTCTCACACACTTTTATACTTACACTTTGATGGGAGGCCGTAGCCACAAGTGATCTTAGCCTCTCCGGTCTCGCAGCCGTGGAGGGAAGCACACTCCTTTTTTAGCATTGGACCTGCAGCGCGGTGGATCGCTCCGTCCACTGGAGAGGAGAGGACAGGAGATTCAGAGAATTGGCCTACTTAGATGAATCCCCTGCAATCTGACTACTTACAGGGAGTCTAAATGTTGTTTGAAGTCCAGCAGGCACATTTACAGGTGTCAGAGCTTAGAGCTGAAAGAACCTGATAATGTCAGTTTTAGTGGTGAACGGTTGAATTTCGGTTGAAAAGTGTAGGTTGCTAACATTTCACACCAATGCTGTGTTTTTTTCCTTTTAGTAAGTCAAAGCATCTGCTTTTTGTACGTCAGTCTATTTAATGGATTTTAGGGCTGCTGCCTTAGTTAATTACTCGATTTAATGTCCTATTAAGGACTCAGCTGACTTTGACTTTTTGGTCAATTAGACTCTATTAATTACATTTTCATAAATCTTCATAATATTCAGAAATGTGTATCTATCTTTGATCCACACCACATCTAAAGACCGTGACTGTGTTCATTTCCAGGAGGGCAATGATGCAGGAAAAGCAATTTTACAGCTGTGCCACATCACAGTTTCAGTCATAATCTTTGCACCCCCTTTGCAGTTAAACACATATCATCAAAGTTAACATTTATACCATTAACATTGATCACAACAGCTTTATCATTTTGACTCTCCGCATTATGGACCAGAGAGCTGCATTTATATTTAATGAAATCATACTTTTATGATTAACACAAATTAAGGCAAAATAGGAACAACGGATTTGAATGCAACAACAAATACAATTCTTCAAAGCCAATATATTTAACATACATTTTAATAGGAAAACTGAATTTAACCCTATGTGAAAAATCATTTCATAATAGATCATGAAATGACATCACGTTTCCGCTAAGAAGAACTGAAGAAAAAACACACCTATTCTAGTGAGGTGCTGGCTCGCATGCAGACATCAAAGAAAGGAAGGAAAAGCCGCACACACATGATTCAATTTAATTAGTGCTGGGGAACAATTAAAAATTTTAAATTGCGATTAATTGCATGATTTTCTGCGATTAATCGCGATTAATGATAGTATATTGCACACTTTTAATTTAAATGTACTGCTATATACACAAACATGTGGTTTGCAAAAACTTAACAAATAAGGTGCTTTTGACCAGCAGTATTCCCTTTACACGGTATCAATAAATTTCTTGTAAATCTCAACTTAAACATTAATGTAATCAAATCAAATGTAAAACCAAAGCTATCTGCCACTACCAGGGCATTACGTTTTATCTAGCTTGTTAAAACAAGTTAAGAGTCCAGAGTCACAATGTTAACATATATAAACATATTAACACATATAAATCTGTTTTCTTGTTTTTTTTCTGAACAGGTATCAGCAGAAACATTTTTCCTTTATCAGGGAGCAGCATAAAGAGTCTATGTTCAGTAGCAAGTGTCCCTGTTATAGTGAGGTGAAGTGGTCGAGCATAAGGTGTAGCAACAAGTGGGCGCATTTCTGTGAAACTGTCGCAATGTACCTCACGTACACGCCCCCTGCACTTCCAAAGTTGAATTGTCTTGAACTTTTTGTTTGCGACATGCAGCACAAATCATTGGAAGAGAGACTGATCCTCGCTGTTTGTGAGTTTCCAGAATCTAATCTATTACTCCTAAATAGTCATCAGGACATCAACAGGAAGGAATTTGCATGGCAGAGCATCCCCGCAAAACTAGATGTAGGCCTATCAGGTAAAGTTATGTAGCCTATGATTTTATGTTAAATAGGCTACAGCTATGTAGTGTACAGAAGCTATTGCCATGGTTACTATTCATCCGAGGTTTAAATCCTTCCCTCCCACAAAATTTTAGACCAATTTCAAAACTGCCTTTTATTGCAAAGATTCTAGAAAGAATTGTGTCCAAACAGCTGCTCACTGTACTGGAAAATAACAAATTATTTGAAAAGTTTCAATCTGGTTTCAGGAAGTACCACAGCACTGAGACTGCCCTGCTTAAAGTCACCAATGACCTTTTAATGTCTGCTGATGAAGGCATGTGCTCAGTCCTGGTACTCCTGGACCTTAGCGCTGCTTTTGACATCACTGATCACAACATCATGTTAGACAGACTTAGGCACTGGGTGGGGATCTCTGGTACTGTCCTAGAATGGTTTTCATCCTACCTGTCAAATAGGAAGTTTTGCGTGTCTGTAAACAACTATGTCTCTTCGTTCTGTCCAGTTAAATATGGTGTGCCTCAGGGGTCGGTCTCAGGACCCATTTTGTTTTCCTTGTATCTGCTTCCCCTTGGACATATTATCCATCAACATGGTATTTCTTTTCATATTTATGCTGATGACACACAAATGTACTTGCCCGTCAGATCCACAGACCCTGGAATGCGGAGACCCTGGAGTTCACTTACCGACTGCCTTTGTGAAGTTAAAAAATGGATGTCAAATAATTTCCTCCAGCTGAACTCAGACAAAGCAGAAATCCTGGTCATTGGGTCCCAGCAGATGGCAAATCAAATACCGCCATCTGCTGGTTCCCTAGTAAATCACATTAAGCCTGTGGCAAAGAACCTTGGTGTTTGGTTTGATAGTAATTTAAATTTCGAGCAGCACACCACAAAGCTTGTTCAATCATGTTTTTATCAACTTAGAAATATAGCAAAAATTCGATCTATGTTAACTTTTAAGGACACCGAGACCATTTTACACACCTTCATCTCATCACGCCTGGATTATTGCAACAGCCTTTTCACTTGTTTAACCCAAAAATCTACTGATCGACTCCAGACTGTCTAGAACTCAGCTGCCAGGCTTTTAACCAGAAGAAATATGACCACGTCACCCCTATTTTAGCTTCATTACACTGGCTCCCAGTGTGTTTTAGAATTGACTTTAAAATTTTATTGATCACTTTTAAAGCTCTTCATGGCCTCTCGCCTTGTTATATTTCTGACCTTTTAGTCCCATACACACCAGCACGTACCTTGAGATCCTCGGGCAGAGGTCTGTTGTCTGTTCCAGAGTCTCGACTGAAAACTAAAGGGGACAGAGCGTTTGCTGTCAGGGCTCCGAGGCTCTGGAACAGCCTGCCCGAGGAAATCAGGTCGGCTGAGTCAGTGAACTCTTTTAAGTCCCTTCTTAAAACGTACTTTTATAGGAGAGCCTTTCCCGATCTTATTTGACTTTATTTTATCCTTATTTGACCTTTTATTTTACTCTATTTTACTTATTTTATATGTATCTTAAACGTGTATTTTGGTCTTTTCAATGTTTTTTGCTTGTATTGTTGTCTTTGCACTTGTTGAAGCACTTTGTAACTTGTTTTTGAAAAGTGCTCTACAAATAAAGATCATTATTATTATTATTATATTATTACTATCCATAGAGCGCCGGCTGTTTACTCATGGAGCACTGTTCTTCTCCCACACGCAGCACCCAATGTAGTCTGCTGAAGCCTCCCTCCGCCGCTTGTTTGGGTGGGTGATGACTAGGGGAAAAATATGGAAAACCCAAAAAAACAACAAGATTTTATTGATGCTATCTTACTGACCGGATTCATTTCTAGTATTTCATTGAAATTCAACTTGGCTCCTTTTTTATTTGTTGCTCCCCCATTACTGTCAATGAATTGAATCTGTTTACATGTGGTCGGGGGGGCTTCAATATGACAGAAAATGTTTGAGAACCACTGATCTAGTCAATGCAAAAACTGCAAAAGACTTTATGCAGCTAATCAGGATCTTTTTTTCATAGAAAAGGACCCAACCCTGTTATGCAAGGGCATAGGTAACAAATGTTTTTAAAGTGCGTGAATAAATCCAAAATTGTAACAAAAACCCTTCAAAAGGGGGATCAGTGCACATGTGTGGGCATAGAATGTATGAAGAGACGAAGGCCCAGCTTTGCCAGTGTTGTCCGCACATCGTGGGACATTGTGATCATTTATTACCACTGGTGAACCACACAAAAACAGTAGTTGAACTAGACCCTTGAGGAACCGAGACATGCATGCAGTTGTCGGCCGCACGCACGCAAAACTCTACACAAGACCAGTGAATGGCAGGCGATCAGAGAGAAAATGGTCAACAACAAGCCTCTAGCTCTAAATTTCACTGACGAATAAATAGGGACTGCGGCTCTGCAGCTTCTCAAGATTAAAGCGGAGCTACTGTGTGTAACTCCACCCCCCGGTCGCAATTGCCGCCACACACAGACAGACATGTGATTAGACTATCAGTTGTTTTATACAGTCTATGGTCCCTACCCTCCATATGTAAACCTACACCCTTGTGTACTTCCTACAACTCAACATGATCCTGGCAGCAATTCTGTTTCCCTAAAAATATGTATAGTTGGCTAAATTATTATGTAGTAACCTCTGTTTATACCATTTCTAGGGTTGAAAGTCTTTTTAAAATATTATTGTATCAGAATATTACCACTCAGTTTGCCAGTAACTTCACCATCACCGGCATTTATAGCCGGGTACAATCCCGACCAAAGACTGTACTTTTCTTTTGCAATAATTCAGAGGTCTAATGTAGGAGTCTGGTGTAAACAATTCATAATTAACCCAGAATAAAACACATCTGTCAAGAAGGGTTATTGTCACAGCACTACGAGACTTGTCAGCACTTGGTGAAAATAGTACGTTAACACCAATCCATATGTCGCAGCTCAACGTGTTGGCCCTAGGCTCTTATCTCTGTCTGACTGTATACAGACCAGCTGTTACAGCGGTGTGTTTCACCAAACTGAGTGGCTCCAAGTGGGGGTCTGGTGTTATCTGAACATTATTGTGTTAAGTTGGCATATCACATGCGGTGCTGGGCTGTAGTGTTCCATGTCATGCTGTGCCATGTTGAACAGGGCCGCACTGTGAGTTAAGCACAATTGTGAGGGCGTGAAAGGCGAGCTCTGAACGTTGGCTACCTCCTCAGGGTGCACAGAAAAAAGCTTAGATACCATGCTCATGCTGTGTGTGCGTGAGCGTGCTGTTAGTAAAATATTTCTGGTGTGTGCATATCCCAGTCAAAGCATATGTGCTACT